AAATGAATAGTAAAAATCTAATCCAATCCCCAAACAAACACACCCTTAAGTGAGTGGCCACGGTAAATTTAGAAATTTAAGAGAGATATAATTAATTAATTTAATTAAATAAAAATTTAAATTAAAATTTTAAAATATAATTAAAATATTTTTTTTAAAAAAAAAATGAAATATGAAATTGACAGAAAAGAAAAGAAAAATTTGATACTATGCATGATATACTTCGAAACGAAGGGAGTAACATAAACATAGATAGAAAAAGACAGACTGACAGATACCACCAAGAATGCTGATGGTGATGGTCCCGCAAATCTTATTACCAAAATTGCCCACGTGATGTCCGCGCGCCTCGTCACGTGGGATATGACCATCAACCAGTATGCCGCCGCCACGTGCGTATTGCCACGTGGGGGGCAGGGTGCAAATTAATCTTGCTCTTCTTCTCTTGTTGTGTTGGGCCCCACTCACATTGTCTCACTCTCACTCCGTCTCGCTTATAGTATTCATTTTTTTATTTTATTTTCTCACTTATTTTGTTAATTTTTTTTGTAAATTAATATTGCTCTTTTTTAAAATTTTTGTATTTATAATGTTTTTAGATTAATAAATTATCTTAATTTTAATTTATAAATTTTTTATTATACTAAAATTATTTTTACTAATATATTTTTAATTATTTACTAATTATTCCATATGTCCTGTTTAATTTGTCTATTCTTTCTATTTCCGTCCGTCCTATATAATTTATCATTGTTTTTTTAAAAAAAATATAATTATTAGTAATACACTTCTTAATTACTTACTAATTATTCAATACCTAAAACTATGTACTTTTTAATTATATTTTAAATTTTATTTTATTTTAAGTAAACTATTTAGTTATATTAATCTTAATCTATAATTATTTTTATCAAATCATAATTATTTTTAGTAATATAATTCTTAATTACTTACTAATTATTCAATACTTAAAACTATGTGTCTAAGAAAAAATGAACAATTTAAGTGGAACAGAGATAGTATATTCTTTCTAAATTATGTATCTACGCTAAAGTGGACACCAAATCCAAGACGGAAGGAGTATTTGTGTTTATAATTAATATTTTTTGTTTTAGATATTCATGTTATATTTTTTTATTATTCAGTAAATTTATATATAATTTATTTATAATAAATAATTTTATTTACTTACAATTTATTTTTTAATAAATAATAACTAATTTGTTATTCTATCGTTCCTATATATTTTGCAATATTTTTTATTTTGATATGTCTCACCTACTTTGTATCATTTTCAAAATAAAAAATAATTAATACATATTATTTCATGGCATTACTCTGAATCAAAAATAAATATACATACTTCTCTCTTATCGGATAACTTAATTTCTACTTTATTATACTCTCTTAAATTCTTGTGCCGAAATCAAAATATTGATTTTTATATAAGACAGAAGAAATACTATTTTTTTTTAATTATCTCACTATTTTACTATTAATTTATCAATAATTTTTTTTATGATATCCAATTTTATCTTTTTACCTATTTATTGTTTTGAGTTTCAATATTATTAAATAAAAAATATAATGAAATATACTACTACTTTAAATAAAATATAAAATATATAAGTACATGAAAGTGATCATTTAAACTAGACATCGAACCATGACCCTCCGCAACAAACCAACCTCACAATTGCTACCTTTAGAGTCACATTTTATATACAAAAAAGAAAAAAAAAACAAACAAACAAGGAATATGGTTGCATTTAATTGTGTGTGTGTGTGTTTTTTAAATGTTTCAATATTTTGAATTATTTTAAAAATTATAAACACTATGTTACTTTAGAAATTTTTATCATTCTCAATAATAATAAAAATATGCGTAGAGTGTGTTTACTTGAGCGATTTCAATTTTAGTTTTACTATTCCAAAAAAATTTTTACTCCAAAATCGTCAACTCAAATATTTATTTTTTATTTATTATATTATACTAAAATTTAATTTTACATTCAAAATATTATATCAAATCAAATAATTATTTCAATTCAAAATTTTACTATTCAAAACCAAAATCCAAAACCAAAATTTCACAAATAAACACATCATTTTCTAAAAGAAGTCCATTATATCATCTCACAAAATATTTTAAAAAATATAAAAATTATTTTACCCAAATTGTTTTTACAAATTTTCAAAATATTTTGTTCTTTCTATATTTTTCTCCTACCCATTTTCCAAGAGAAAGTAACGAATTATACACATTTGCTATTTTTATATTCTCTATACAATTCTCTATAGCATACGTAAGAAACAAATAATTTCACATTTAAAGCTATATTTTTATTTATTTTGTATTTTGGTTAAAATATATATTTTTTTAATGTGTAATATATAATTTTTTTGGAAAATATATTAATTTTCTTTTAAAAAAATATTATTTGCATAAATTTATATTAAGTGCTTTTGACTTTGACTTAAAATATATATTTTTTAATTTAATAAAAACTAACATTTAAACATATATGTATAATGTAATATTATTTTAAAATAATGTAATATCGTTTTAAAATAGTAATTATTGATACTTTATTTATTATTTTTTAAAAATATTTTAATTATATATACACCTGTGCATCGCACGGGTTTAAATAGTAAGTATATATATATACTATTACTATTTGTATTGACATCTGATCCTAAGCTTTTTAACTCTAATAATATTTTTTTGGACAAGCATCTTATGGGGTGTTTTTGAAAAATAAAATAAAAAATAAAAAAAAGACTAATAATAATAATAAATAACATAAAATTTTAACAATATGTCCTCGTTAATAATATTTTTTTTTATGTTATTATAGAATAATTATTTATATAGTAAGCTTACACATCTATACATTAATAAAATTAAAATACTCCGGCTTGTGTTTTTTATCCTCATTTATTTTTTTTTTAATTCAACAAAACGGATCTATTTGAAAACAAATACTAAAAACATTAAAAGTGTGTTTGGCCGAGATTTTAAATTGAAATTAATATTATTTATTTTATAAAAAAAATTTAATAAAAATATATTATTAATATATTTGGTAATATACTATATATTTATAGTAGTCGACTTATTAGGAGATTTATTGATTATATAAACATATACATGTTTATATTTATAATTGAAATAGAAAATTTTAATTTTATATTTCAACGTAGTACTAAAGTCAAATTTTCTTCGGATATGTTAATGACTCATTATATTTCGTATATATTTTGTTGATGTATTTGCTTCTATGTATCGCTATGTTGCTGCCACTTTGATCTCCACTGATAGAGTTATCATTTCGACTGAAAATGTGTTGAAAATTTTATTTTCGAATTTAGCTTTGTTGTAAGTTAACGAGTTATATTTCTGATTCTATCGGTGTTGAGATTCTTGTTTCAGACTTTAGTGGCATTGAGAATTTTGTTTCTGACTCTAATAATGTCGAGATTCCCATTTTCGACACTAACATCGTTAAGAGCCCATTTTTACTATAATGGCGCTGAAAGCCCTGCTTCGAACTTTGATTCGGTGAATGATCCCAATTACATCACTTTCACTCTCTCTTTAGACAAACTCGAATTAATTCAATCGTAACTTAAGTTTGAAGAGGAGTATTGATATACTTGGAATATATATTGTATATTTATGGTGGTTGCTTGTTTTAAAAAAATATGTAGGCTATAAAGCATATATGTAAATTTTCTTATGATTAAAATAAATCAGTTTTATATTCTTCTTTATACTTTTTTTTCCTTACAAAATATTATTTAAATAAAAAATTCAAATCAATTTCAAACGACAATTAAATTACAAATGTTTGTTTGAGAATTTAAATTTTGGATCTGAATTTTGAATAATTGTTTGATGTAATAATATAAATATATATCAATGTAATGTATTGTTGGACATAGATCCAAAAACACTTAAATATAAAGGAGACTCGAAGATAAAAAGCGACCGGACCCCCAAGTCGCGGAGCTGCCCAACCCCAAGGGAGCTTCAGGCTGCAGAGCTGCTAAGCAGCAATGAAGCCCCCGTCTGTGGAGTCGCTTAGGAACAATGGAGCCCCAATCTGTGAAGACCGTTCAACAGCAATTGAGCCTCAGTCTGTGGAGGCTGCCCAACATCAATGGAGCTTCAAGTCGTGGAAACGACAGTTTGACCCAATCTTAATTCCCAAAGGCATGGAACATGGTTCAAGCCCATGTTGAGCAATTGAAGGAAATGGACGAGGAGTTACGGAGTTTGAAAAAGTAACTACAACACTCTCCTTAGAATTTACGGATAGTTGCTTATATTAGGATAAATATGACAAAACAAAACACAATGTACACGACAAGAAAAATCTCACATTTTATCCTTAAACTTCATCATTTTATTTCAATAGTTTATCCATAGATTTTAGGAGTTTTATCAAATTATGTCCTATTTTATATTGTTTTTTTGTTAATTTAAGTTTAGTTTCATGTTAATTTATAATTCCAGTAGATTTTAGCTTGAATCCATCGAAATTATCCGTCTAGACTCGAAGCCGTGCATGCTCCATTGCCGGAGCCGCCCCCAATCCGACGACTGATAGGCTCTTTGGAGTACTTTCGGAACCCATTGACAGGGTCATGAACATGGCCTAGAACATAACTACGTTGGAAACAAGGTCATGAACATGACCTATGACTTAGAATATGACTGCATTGGGAACATAGTCATAAATATGGGTAGTAATATGGCTGTGTTTAGAACACGAGTATAAACACAGGCAGAAACACGATTGTGTTCAGAAGTACAGGGTAATCAACACCGCCGTGTTGACTGTTTGAGACGCCCAGTCATCTTTCCCAGTCATCCAACATTACCGTGTTCAGTCCATTCCCAGTCATCTTGAATATGGTACAAAATGTTTTGTTTGCTCAATAGTATATATATACACATATATGCAAAGCTGTAGCCCAACATTCATACATACATCTCTCTCTAATCTCTATATATATTTATATCGCGGATGGACCTGAACCTTTCTCTCTCTCTCTCTCTATATATATATATATATAAATAAGGGCACAGAAGAAGAAGAAGCACTGAGGCAGCTAAGGTAGGTAGCTGGTTAAGCCCCAAGTCGATGCTTTTATCTGCATTTGCACCTGCACCTTCATCTTTCTCCTTCTGCTCTCTTTCTCTCTCTCTCTCTCTATATATATATATATATATTAGTAAGGGAATCGAAAGAGGTGCAGATGCAATTGCAGGCGAAACCTACTTGGGAATTATTATTGTTCTTCTTCTTCTTCATCTCTCTCTCTCTAAAAAGGGTGAGATGATCCATGAGGTTAGAAACTTAACTAAAGTAATTGAATTTCCAGTGGGTTTTCAAAGAAATATCACACACACACAGGAGAAACAATTCTATGAATTCTCTCTCAAGGCTCTCTCTCTCTCTCTATGTGAAATTCTATGAATTCTCTCTCAAGGTACTCTCTCTCTCTCTCTAAAATTCCATCAATTCTCTCCCAAGGTACTCTCTATCTCTCTCTAAAACTTACTTCGATACTTATCTGCAAAAATAAATCACCATGACTCCAATTAGATATCACCGTTTGGTTGGTTAATTTCACGGCCAGTTGTCACTGCGTTTTCAACTTTTTTTTTTTTTTTTCAAAATACTACATCACTTAAAATTTGTTCAAAAATTTTCATTTCTAACAAATTAATTTATATTAATAGGAAATAAAAATTTATATTTTTTTATTTATTTGTATTATAATATAAAATTTTACTTTTTATAAAATAATATTCATATTATATATATTTTATTAAAATAATTAATATACATTTTATTTTTTTAATCATATATATTACATTATAAATAAAATATTAATTAAATATATTAATCTTAATTCAATTTCCAACTCAATAATTTATCAGATAACCAAATACACAGTTAAGCTCTCTCCATGTAAACATTTTTACCATGTTTTTCTACTGTATATTTACAGCTTTATATATATATATATATATATATATAATTTGGGTAAATTAATTATGCTATTACATGGCGACATGATTAATGATTAATTATGTAATGAGAGTGTGTTTTTTTTTTTATATTTTTTTTTAAAAAGTATTTTAGATATATATATTATACTATTATCCTTTTACTTCTATTTTTGTTAATTCTGACAAAAAATATTAGTATTATTTTTTAATTTACTATAAAATTATTCTAAAGAATACAAAAAATTATTTATTTTCAATATAATATTTGTGTAGTCATTGTCCATTTAATTTGTATGACAATTTATTCTAGACTAGAAAGTTTTTATATTTTTTTTTGTACATACAAAAATAATCAAATGTTTGTTTCAAATAAAAAACAGATTTAAAATAAATTGAAATTAAAAATAAATAGTAAGAAAAAATAAAACAAATAAACATAGTAATTTTCCCTTCCGGAGCCGCAGAGCTGGTTCGTCAATAAAGGGAACCCGAGAAGTGGGGTGCGGATTCACCCGGGTTTAATAAGGAACGGACAGCGTAATCTTTGCGCGTCTTTGTCGATTGGTCGTTCTATTTATTTTAGCTAGTCTTCTGCCGTATTGTTTGTTTACTTGATCTTATTAAGATGGGCCCAAGGATGTTGAAAAAACTGTGAGAAATTGCTACATATTATGGGCCCTCTAATTATGGGCCGCGCTTTATTAATCTAGGCTCGGCCCAACGTAAGGAACAAAGTATGGGCCCACATTATTATTCCTTCAGTATAAATATATAGATATATATATATATTTAATACAATATATTCATCTATTCATTTCTACTGTTTCGAGGTTTTTTTTTTTTTTTTTTTTTTCAAATATTCATCTATTGTTTTTTTCGAGTATTTTCTTTCTGTACAACATTGTCCTCACCAAAACTGGCAAAACGAACCGATAGATACACACCACGTCAGAGGTGCAAGCCGTGATTAGTCTGACCCACGAAGCAGCCAAATGCAGAATATTTGTCAGCGAGCGGTTTTTAAATAAACCCCAGATGTCCCCATCTGTTGCCACGTCATCCAATAACAAGCCGCCACGTGCCTCACACGTCACGAATCAGATATACTTAACCTCTTGTGGGACCGGTCGAGTTTCCCGGATAACGCCTCCATAACCTGCCACGTGGCATCTCCCTCCAAAATTGGCACATTATACAGTAGGGCCTTCCTAACCGCTGGGTCCCACAACCTCCTCTGTATAGTGCTGAGATTAGTCTCCGCCACGTGTTGCAGGATCGCCCCCAGCTTGTCCACGTCCTCCTCCGCCACGGTCACCGATATCTCCGGCCAGGGCACGGCGGCCGAAAACGGCAGCTGGATGCCGTCGGCTATGATCACCGGGACGCAACCCAACGCCGCCGATTCCACCAGCCGGGGGCTCCACGGCGCCCACCCTAACGGACACAGACAAAACGTTGACCGTACAATTTCCGACTGGTATCCGGCAAATCTTTCCCGCCGTAAATGGAATCTCCGGTCGGTGCTGTATCTCCGCCATATCTCCGTCCGCACTCGCCTGGAAGGTTATTAACATGTCAGGGGTAATTACGTCATTTCGTAAGACAGTAGAGGAATAAGTCTCACTTGCTGTAGAAGCGACCGCTGACGTTCTTCGGGTGAAGTTCCATTTTGCCCCTGAAGAACGCGAAAATGTCACGGCGGCCGGTGATCGGAGATTTCAGCAGAGTGTCACGCACGCTTTCCGGCGACACGTAGGGCGGCACCACCACGTGCTCCACCTCCTGGCATGGATGCCTGTGCTTCACACCAAACGTCTGCAAAATTACCGAATTCCTCAAAACCTCAGGCACTCCGTCGTCAATCGCCACATCCTCCTGCAAATCACCAAACTCTAACCCTAATTAAATCCTTAATTCATAAGATCACGAAATCGACGCTAGTGCAGTAATTACCAAGGTGTGAAAGCAGGAGCCGAAATCGTGGGAGGCGACGAAGACATGATCAGCGCCGCGGCTGCGATTCCAGAATGGGAACTGAGAGGAGACGAGGTCGACGGCGGAGGAGATAAGGGCGCGGGCGTGGCCGATGGCGGGGAATCCATTAGCGGTGCTGAAGTTGCAGGCGACGTAAACGGGGACGAAGAAGAAGTCAGCCTGCCATGGATCGGTCGTCGTCAACTCTTTGCTGGCCATTAAACCCCTGTGAATGGCGACCTCGGAAGCGAAGAGATGGGTTGTGCACCTCTGGTTGGACAGCCAATCGGCGTTGTACTTGGCGGGTAATTCGTAGACATAAATCTTCATCCCCATGAACAACGACCCTGAATTGTTATTACCGTTGGGATTGTGGGGAGATTGTTTGTGTTCGATTAGGGCACGGGAGGGTTTGGGGAAGAAGGGCGAGGATGGAGGGTTGTTAGTGCGGTGGGTGATGAGGAAGGAGGAGAAGAAGTAGAAGGAGATTGAGAACCAGAGAATCCATTTGAAGTGCCTGTAGCAGAATCCACCTCCACCTCCTCCACCTTTGTTTCTTGCTCCATGAAGATGCAGAAACCGTCTCATGATTGCCTCCTCCACCAAGAACAAGCATAAGCATAAGCATGTCTGGGTGGAAGAAGAAGAAGAAGAAGAAGAAGAAGCAGTTGGGATGGGGCTGTCTGAATAATTAGAGAGAGAGAGAGAGAGGGTTTAATTGGAGTGATGAAGAAGAAATTACAGTGGGTGGATGGTTGGAACTTCCTTATTGCTTCAGTAACACTTGAAATTGAAATGGGATTTGTGGAAGTGGTGGTCAAGTGCAGATTTTTTGTGTATTCTTTGACGTGAAGGAAAGAGTCAGAAATGAGAATCGGGCTTTACAAGTTTGTTTGTTTGACAGAGAGACAGAGAGAGAGAGAGAGCAACCGATCCATGAGTAAGAAAGAGAGAGACAGACAGATATTCCAAGTACATTACATCACCTTCACAAATTGTCAACTCAAGTCTTATCTGATGAATGATAAAATAAATACTCCCTTCTCGCGTCATAAATATGTGCGCATTTGTCTGTACATGATCTTAAAAAATAAAAAGTAAAATACTGTTTCGTCCCACAAAATTAGTTTTTTTTTTTTTTTTTTTTTTTCCTAATGTCATCAAATTTATTTATTTTACATATAATATACTCTCTTCGTTCTATTCTAATACTCGACATTAAAAATATTATTATATTTATATAATTTGTTACACAAATATCATTTTAATAGTATTACAAGATACTAATAAAAATACTTTTGTCATTTTCTTTTAATTTATATTACCTTTTCATATAATAATTAATATTCAAAAATTAAGAAATAATACTATTTTATTGGTTAATAAAAATGTAATAATTTTTTGAGATTTTTATTCTTCGATTTTATATAAAATAATTGTATGTATAATAATATATTATTTGTAATCGATCATCATGATTACGATGAAAGGCAATCGAGAGTGGAAACGCATTAATATCATTGTCTTTAGCGTGCAATATACCATATATTTTTTAAAATGACATAGAAACCTGCAATACATCATATATTAATTGCACAAAAAGAGCACATATAAATACGGAGTAAACATATATATGGAATTACAGTAAATAACACAAAATTATAATCCTACACATCTTGAAATTAACGTATAACCAAAATTTTTAGACTAACATAGAAAATAGCAACAATAGCATACAATATAGAGTAACAAATCAAAAATAAATTTTTCAAAAGTAATATCATGTAATCATTTGGTTTTCTTTACTGGATCAATAATATCAAAATTATCTCTTATTATAAACACATTGATCACAACCTTATTTTCTATAGTCACATTAGCTTCGTTACATTATTGGTTTCTAAAGTTTTCCTTAAGTTTTGGACATTTATTTATAAAATAATTTCGGTCTCCACAATTATAGCACTTCATATTTTTAGTCTTATACTTAGACTTTCTTTTCTCTTTGCCCTTATTTTTTGATTTTTCATTAACTTGTACTCCCTCCGTCCCAAACAAGGTGCAACATTTACTTTTGGCACGAGTTTTTAAGTGGGTAGTATTAAGTAGGATAATTTAGAAATGAGGTGATGTGAGGGAGATAGAAATATATATTTTTTTATTTTTTTATTTGGATGATGTGAGGGGATAAAGTGTGAGATAGAGATTAAGTATAGTTAATTATTTCCTATTTTGAAAATATTGTAAGGTGTTTGGGACATACCAAAGAGAAAATGTTGCAGGATGTTTGGGACGGATGGAGTATAATTTAATTCATTACTTTGTAATTCATTCATGAATATTTTAAAAGCTATACTCCCTCCATCCGAAATAAATAGTAACATTTGATTTGGGCACGAAATTTTAGGTGGATTAATATTAAATATGATAATTTAAAAATTAGATGATGTGATGGAGAGATAAGTGTATATAGTTATTAAAGTGATATGATGTCCAATTCCAATACGGTTCTAATACCACTATTGAGATTTTGGATCGATTGAATTGCCAATTTATAAACAGAAAATTCTTACAAAAAAATTAATGGATTACAATTTAACAAATACAATATAGAATCAGAATATAAGAAAATCAAAGAATAAAAAAAAAAGATGATCAACCGAACAAATAGGCTCAGATCACAGCCATTGCTTCGCCAACTTCACGTCGTCCATACGAGGCAATACTACAAACGTAGAAATAGGTGGTTTCACATGCACGAAGCAACGGACGAACAAACACACAAAAGGATGGACCAGAACTAAAGTAATATTTTCGAAGAAAATATATATATAATAAAGATTAGTATAGAAACTGATAAAGTTTGATTTGAATTTGAATTTGAATTTGAATTTGTATCTAAATATAAAATTTGATTTGAATTTGAATTTGTATATAAATATATATATATATATATATATATACACATAGTAGTTGCCGATTTCTAATTCCAATCGTTAACCAAACAGAGCCCAAAATACAACACAAAACAATCCAACAATGGACAACTTGCAAATAAATAAAATAATTAAAAAAAGAGAATAGTCTTGATTGTTCATAATTAGCATTGGATTTATAATAGAAAGAACAATCTAATAAATACGACACAGAACAATCCAACAATGGACAACTTGCAACAAAACTACGTCATAGTCTTAATCACATAATTAAATTTTATATAAATTTAAATATATAAAAAATAAATTCTTATAATATAGAAAATAGAACACGAAAATACAAGTGATCACCGCCAAAATTCTATCGTTTCGTTCTATTTTAGTTGTTTAATTTTTTAGATTCTTAATTAGAAAATAAGTTAAAAATATATAAGTAAAAATAATTATAAATTAAAAAATAATAATAATAATTAATTTATTAATAAAATATGCAAGAAAAAATATTCTTTTTAATTTATATAAAAGTCAGAATCTTCTACTGTTAGTGTAAAAATATTTTAAAAGTAAGGCAAATCAAAATAATACATATGACCGGACATAGAGAGAATTGTTCTTTTAAACATAAAATTGTATTAATAAATAATAAATGTTAAGGGTATGTTTCTTTATATCGGTTTGAAAAAAAATTGGTTTGAGTTTGGTATTAAAATAATGTATGATGCGATGTTTTGTAAAAAAAAATATATATTTTTTTCGATTCATGCAACTAACAGTACTGTTTTATTATTTGGGTCTATTTCAACTAAAGTATTAATTTCTTAGTGAAAGTTATTACACACTAATACTAAAATACATTTTAATTTTTATATAAATTATAAATATATCATTATACATATAATTATTTTATATATAAGATAAATAAAAATATCAAAATCATCTTACAGCCTTTTACTGACTAATAAATATATTATTAATTTTTAATTTATTACTACAAAAGTATTAATTTTTTAAAGTATTACTTCCTTGTCGCACATTGCATGTATTGATTACTGTAGATACGTCTACAGGAATTTAGGATAAATATAATTAATAAATAATTAAAAATGTATTAGTGAAAATAATTATTTTATAATATAAAATTATAAATTAAAATTAATATAATTGTTTAATTTAATTAAAATTAAAAAATTTAAAATAAAATTAAAATACGTAATCATTCTCAAAAAATAAATAGAAACGGCCGGCCACGTGGAGGTGGGACGGATGGAGGGCTTTTATAGCTACAACTATATGTACACGGTTTTAAATTGGGCCTTAAATGGGCTGTGTAAATATAAATTGGTGATAATTAAATCTGGGCTTTAACTGGGCCATTTAATGATATGTTTTGGCCCAATATACTTTCAGTTTCTTACCTCCATTCTTTAATAATGTTTATTTTCCAAATTAATGTTTTTGTTTTGTCTTTTTTGGTTAATAATGATAAATTGATAATAATGATGTAGGTTGAGCAGAGACATGGCACGTGTTTTGCATTGCATCACAATATGACAGTTGTCTGCGTGTAGTGGGCACGTGCGTCACTTATCCTGTCATGCTAATGCAACTGCCTAACCCGTGTTTGCATGTATTTAAAGGCAAAATTGTCCATAACTCCCTCCCTTGTGCCTTTGAAATTCAGCGTAAATTCTCTCTCTATTTTAAAAATTGTGTCACGTTCCCTTATACTTTAAAAAATGTTGTATGAAATCACTTTGTGGTTTCGAAACACAGCATAAATCTTCATTTTACTTTAAAAAATTGCATAACGTTCACTTATACTTTAAAAAATATTGCATAAAACCCCCTGCCATGCAAAACATATAGATAGGAAATCATCTTCTTATCACACGATGAAAGTTTCATGGTGGTGGGGTTTCATGCAACATTTTTTAAAATATAAGGGTGTACCATGAAATTTTTAAAGTATAGGGAAATTTTATGCTGAATTTTGAAACCACGTGGGAGTTATAAGCAATTTTACCATTTAAAAAAAAAAAGGTCTGTTCATCGAGGATAAAAAAAAAAAAGAAGTAAGTTTGGTTTACTTGTATTTCTTGTTGGAACTATATGGCTATGTTTACTTGTGATATTTTATATCTGATTTTATTATTTTAATTTTAATTTTTTTTTAAATAAATTATCAAATCAAACACTTATATTTTATTTATTTTATTTTATTAAAATTTAATTATATATTCAAAATATCACGTCAATACGTATTTATATCATATTAAATATTTATTTCAATTCAAAATTTACTATTCAAAACCAAAATAAAAAGCCATAATCTTACTAGTAAACATCCCTGTACTCTTTAACTTTATTTCTTTCAAATACTAATTTTCAAATACTATATTTTTATATATTCAAAGTTTTCTTTTCAATCTTTAAAGAAATCATTGTTATATACTACATTCATTTGGAATTAGTTCACCTATTATTTTTGTATGTGTTGATTGAGTATATATATTTTATATTTAGATTATATTATATAAATGATATTTTTTTAAAAAAAAATGGCTTCGTTCACGCAGTGTTTTTTAATTGAAATAATTTTCTTTTTTTGTAGTATGGAAAATTGTATCAGATATTATCTTAAGTTGAATATTTGACGTTTTGAATTTTTTAATGATTTTTTGATTTTATTTTATAACGAGTATATTAAATTTTTGTATAAAATATTGTATTTATTATTATTATTATTATTTGAAATCGCAATTGAAAAATAGTGTAGAAAGAATAGAGTGGGATATT